TTGATTTGGCGCACACATAATCAGATATCTCATTTTGAGCATCATCCCTGGCAGCAGAGGATAATGAATGGAACAATCCGTAGTTATTATTTTGAGCACGGCAATTCGCTGTCGTCGTACAGCGAAGTACAGTGAAGCGAACTTCGCTGATCGCTGTAAGTGGTCTAGTTCATTTTGGACCTTAGAAGGAAACTGCCGGCCGCATTATGTTGCATGCTACTCATAAATGAGAGTAGTACCTCAACTCTAGTTCCCAGATCCAGTTTCTCGAGCTATTTTCATCAAATTTATCCAGCAGTGTGGTAGGCTTGGTGCCAATATTACCAAGCGAGAGGGAAACGGTTGCAGACATCAGGGGCAAGAGTTGTTTTATTTCTGCCAATGCTGTGGGCTGTTACCTTAGTTGTTTACCAAAGCGTGAGTTGGATGTTAATATCAAGGGCCTGTCTCGGAGAGTTCGGAAAAAGTAGCCTTATCGAAAAGGTTGCAGAGTGGTACTGAGAGTCTGCCGTCTATATTAAGCCGTTGTCCCGTCGGCTTTATGATAAGCCTCTGACAGTCCACGGTGGCCCATAAAACCAGTGACTACATTCCGTATTCTCAGGGCAACTTCGTGCTCTCCATTATGGTTCATCTGGTATCTCGACTTGCCAACTCTCAATGAACTAGCCGTCGGTGCCTCATCAACCCTTAGATTAGCGTCTCGACCTCATGTCCCTGAGCACATTGCATCATCCTAAGTTAGTGAGTAGAACACCTTTAGTGACTGCGGACGTTGGCAGTCGTCTTAAAATGAACACAGTGGAGATCCATAAGCTAAAGCACCCTATCCTGATTGTCGTTTGAGGATCAACCAGTTGGGCAAGGAGGGATTTAGCGAAAAGCTGGGTTTTCGACTTAGAAGATGATATCCAGTTTGTAAGAATTCAATAGATACACAGACAGCGTCGTTCACGACACCCGTTTGGATCGATCACAGTGGTTCCGAGATCCTCCTGTTTGAGACCAGTCAGCACCAGATCAAAGAACTTCCCAACCGCTGGCTGGTTCGGCAAACGTGACACCAAGAAAACTTATAGGAAGACGTGCTTACAATGTTTGTTTACTTGGTAGCGCTATCCACGTTCTCAGTAGTCTTCTGGCTGTGCCAACCTGAACATGACATTGGCGAGGTACATTGTTTTCAAGTCTCTGTATTTGAGCATCAAAGAACGTGTCCGAAGTACGGCCTTCGTCAGCGTCGAAGGACCCAGTCTTATCCGGTCCTCTAGGCTTTTCACTGTCAGCCACCTTGATGATCTTTCGAAGAAGCGTAGTTATCATTCTTCACAGCCAGTTTCAAGCTTAACTCAACTCAAAAGACGGATTTGAGTTACGAAACTGATCTCCTTGGGTGCACAGAATGTCTTTGGTCTATTCAACTGGGAGGTTAGTAGATTCTAACTAGTTGGTTGAGCACATATCGGTCCGCCTGGTCACTGGCGTGAACAATTGTTTCTTGCGCATTTATTGGACTCAGCGATTGAGGTTTGCTGCTTGTCGGAGGCATGAAAGTGGTATCATAGCACTAAAGGCCAGTGTGCCGATTTGATCACCGTTGACAGTCGTGCGATGTGGCCCCAGGGGTCACTTTCCAAAGGGGAGGCAACACCGAAAGGTGTTTATTCATCATCTCAGTTAACTCACCGATC